GCGCCGAAAAAGCAACGAACCCGCGGCGGCCATTTTAGAAATAGGACGCAGAGATTTAGACGACGCACAACTGAGGAAGGTTCCATGGAAATCACTGGTACGACGGAAAATGTTGATTCATTCTGAAATCTCGGACCTTCGCTGGAAATCCTCTGTAGCCTGGTTAGTCGACAAAGAAGGGGACTCGTTGAGATTTAGAATGGAGAACGGCTACTTCAGAACGATTCGTTATGAAAGAATCTTCTGTTTTATCTGGATGTTTCAAAGTAGTTGGTGCAGAAATTTAAGATTCGTTCGTTTATTGTACAGGCTGCCTCATTTAAAATGAATAATTAACTTGTGACGCACCAATTCCCTATATGTATATTATCTACATCTAATACATCATACAAAATGCACAATTTGAGGATTTGATGAACATTAGGTGTGTATATGTGCGGGGATCCGTCGTATCATGTAAAACTTATAAAAATATACACTACCAGGCAAATGTTTAGAATCATTGTGCATTGTAAGTTACACGAAAATTTCCAGAAAAAAGTTAGCAATTTTAGGAAACTCTTAACGAATTTTTTACCATTCAAATCAATCGAAATGAGGTAAACTGCTATTGATCTCCACAACATCAATTTCAGATCCATAAAGAATTAGTAGCAGATTCAATATCGATGTATATTGGCAGGTGATTCGAAACTTCTGGCCGGTGGTGTAGGTATTAAGTACGTAAATCAAAGTAATTCGAAGGATATGGGAATTAACGAATTGGATTGGTTTTATTTCAGTTTAACCTTCAGCTTAACCATTCTATTGTCGCAAAATACTTGCTCTCAAGTAACAGAACGATTGCCTAACAGTGGTCATTTTGCGTTAAATTCCCATTTTGGAAAACAATATTTCAATCTCTACTCGAAAAACTACGGATTCATCGACGGATGTTTAACTATTCGTTACTATTCGAAAGTCGCGAAAGTCTCTTTCCCACGCCGCTGTATTTTCAGCTAAGAAGAAATTAATTTGTACTACTGGAAAAACGAAAAGGAAAAATTGAATTCCTCGGGGATCAGGTATTTGTCTAATAAATCGAGGAATTTGGAGAAAGAAAATAGCTTAGAACGGCCAGATAAAGCGAGCAACGTGCTAAAACTGGCGCATTGAGAGAAGAGGGAATTAAATGGTACGCGGGCCGTTGTAATTCGAATTTCAAGGGAAATGCATCGCGAAGGGCGGGCTTCGATCTGGAGATTTAATATACTGCACCGAACGAGACTTAACACGGTCATGGAGAATCGAAAGCACGCGGATCGTTATTCAAGATCCAACAATAATCTCTTGCGGGCCACTGGAAGGGGACAGTTCTCGACGCGACGGCTCAATACACAGAACGCGACCGGTCGCGGCAAACCGCGAAATTAGATGGTGCTAATTGCGAATGCCACGTCCGAATTACAGAGTCCGATTGCACGTATATTAATTTACTCTTATCACGTCTTCGGTTAACACTTTCGCAGATTTTATCGCGCGATCTGCACGAAATTCTTTATCGCGATTCTGTCGTTGGAAAAGGAATGCAAATGGTCGGATTGCAAAAATGTACACATTGCAAGTATAAGCGGGGAATATGTTAAATTTATAAGTAAGCTGTGTGAAGAAAAGGTGCCGAAATTGAATTGTAAAAACATTTGATTTACGTACTGCCTCTTTTCTTTTTATTTTAAATATTTTAGCCGGCGCGTAGAAGAAACTTGTGGAATTTATAGCAAGGATTGAAAACAGTTGTAATATACTGTAAAATCGACACGAGAATCGATTGTAGAATCGAGAAAATAACGGTTCTAGTATTGATATGGGAACCGATATATGAATTAAGTATAGTCAGAAATTTTGGTTCCTCGTAATTTATTTAGTTATTTAGAATAAAGGTTCTTTACTACTATTTTGCAAAGAAGCTTTAGATAACAGCTTGAAACAGTTATTTCTGGAAGCATTTAAATCCCTGATTTACAGTAACACGTTCTTTAATTTCCTTCCTCGTGTAACGCACTTTTTTCATGTATCAGGTAATCAGTGTATTATTAGACAATTGCTGAAAACGTACAGGTAAATTTTTGTCATCTGCTAAGCTAAAAATGCAAAGAAACGCAGTAGCTGCGTCAGCAGTAACCAGATACTAAAAGTGTTAACAGTGCAGAGGTAAGTGTTCCAATAAGCTAACTGGTGCTCTTAAACGGCCATAAGGAAGTTCATTGGTAATTTCTTACTATTACAATCGTTGTACTGATAATACAACAGCGATTGCAGTTATAAATATATATACCTGCAGCAACCTAACCTAACCATTCTAACTCGCGATGATATGTACCATTTTAAAGAAATTAGTTTAGAAAATTGACTTAAAATTGAAGAAATTAAACTTTTGTTCAATTAACGTGTCACAGGTGTAACGAAAATTTCCACGAAATCTAATCGAAAATTGGCTACGTCGAATCGTAAGACAATTTGACGAACGTAGGATAAATAGCAAGTGTTTCACAAAGACGTTGGCTAAATCTAATTTCACTAGCATTATCGAAACTATTATCGCGAGCCTTTGACAGGTAAGTGACATGTCACTATAGATATCGGCTATACAAGCAGTCTTAAGTGCATACGCAGTGACGATGTGTGATCAGAGGCAGAGTTAATACGTGGACAGGTGTGTCGGCAAGTTAACCATACGCGAGCCCATGTATATCGTCAAACAGTAGATGCGTATTAGTCAATACCGAGGCATTAAAGTGATCTGTATTGCACGAGAAACAGCTTTTTCTTTTTACATAGAAGAAAAGAGTACCGCGAAAGTACCCGTTAATTCGAAATATAACAAATTGATGGAATAATTGAATATCCACGATGAAATGAGAAATAGTGTCTAAAGGAGAAAAGTAAAATACGTATAAGTGGTACAATTAATCGTAGACAATAAGAAAATGATTAAAACTGAAATTGAAAAAATTCATCGAACAGGATAAGACACGAAACTGAATTGTAGAAGAAGAATTATGATTGCTTTCATAATTCTATCAATTCACGTCTACGTTTGTGGACTATTGTTGTAACGTGAATAAGATTATTTTATTCTGATATTCTTACATTCTTCGTTGTAACTTAAGTGGCATATTTTCTGCCTCCCTTTTGTACTTATGTTCACTTATGGGCTGAAGTTTTAGTATTTATGCTAAAATTTTCGAGATAATTCTCCAGTAATTTCCATACGCTTGAACGTTTTCAAACGAAACAACGCGCGCTTTTTACGACGGGATCGTAATTGCTTCACAAATAATTTAGAAACACGTTCCTTGCAACTTAATGCGGATGAAAGCTACCTGGTAAACGATAACCTTTCCCAGGTCTTTTAAATATTTCACTCACCAACTGTTTTATTATTTATGCAACAATTGTGGCACCATTTTGAAAAGCATTTGCTTCGTTTAAACAACGAAGCGCATGGAAATTACTGGAGAATTATTTAAAAGAAAGCTGCGCCGTTTCTTTTTCCAACGATCTCAACAATGTTGCGTTTATTTTAATTGTACCAATTTCAGTTGAAACATAACAACGTAAATTGTTTTCGTAAGAAGGATTTTGCTAAAAAAAAAAAAAAAGGAAACGTTAATAATATTTGAACAATTTTGTCCTATGCGTTTTAATCTAAAAAATAATTACCAGAACATAAATCGGAAGATACAGTTGAACAAGAAACATTTGATACCATCGGAACATTTATTATTTAATAGTAAGTCTTTCGTTGTGGAGTCACTTGTTTCCGGGTGCTGTTTGCGTGCCATATTTAAACAGCCGAAGCTCGTTTAGCATTGATTCTGACAGAGAATAATTGAAAGCATGAAATTTTAACAGTCTCAGAAAGCCGAGAATAATTTAGAATGATGAATATGTGTACATGAGAATGGTTTCAGATTCGTCAAATACAATCAGGTTTGATAATTGTGCATTTTTAAGGTACTTGCAAAAGTTGCGGGAAAAATGTTTGAACGACCATCTTACCTAGTTCGAATGCTGTTCTTCTTTCAATTTTTTCCACGATGAAATTTCGCCACTTAACCATGTTATAATGTCACCATCAAGCACCAATTTATTTATCAATATGTGTTGTTACACTTCGAATAAAAATTGAACATTAAACTATTATATTCTGTTTATTAGAAATTTACGAAGCATTATCTAAAAAAACACTGACAGATAACCCGAACACTACGATTGCCAACTGCTATGTTTGTCCCACTGGTAGGGAATCTGGGAAAATCTGTTCGTTGCGTTGGTAATAATATGTTTACGGCTTACATTGAATAAAATAGTGATTTGTTTGCGGCGTTTTTGTGCAAGCTGAGAAAAGAAATAAATGGGCGTATAGAAAAGAAACTTTTAATTTCTATATTACCGTAAAATGGAAGCGAGTATCGAGCAAACCCCAACGGCCCCAGAAACCGCTTCTAATAATGAACAGGAGCATAATGAGGAGGGCATGGAAGAAACTGAGGATTACAGTTTCGATGGTGAAGATTATAGGCATTTCGTACCACGGGGACGAGGAGGCTTTAGGTGCGTTACAGTTTCTCTTAGCACTTCATACATCCTTCGCGTTACGCGTTGTCGAAAATACGAGACGAAAAAGTAAGGTTAGGTTGTCCCTTCATAATACTTCTGCCTGACCTCTTAATGTATGCTTCACAAAAACGATCAAACTTTGCATCACCATAAACCCCTTATACCCCAATAAATACTATGGTAACGCGACTATTGTTTCTACTTACGCTCCTGTACGATGAAATGATTTGCCCATAATTATTCGATATAATATTTCATTGATTTGTTTCACAAACTTTCTGTGATGACGATTTTTTATTTGTGAATGTAAATTGTTTTTCATGTTTTGAAACATAACATGCAAAAGGTAATAAATACCTTTAAAAACATTCATCTTTGTTTTAGAAATAATGTAAATGATATGTATGTAATGAATAATTGATTTGTATGTTAAATTGTTGCACTGATGTTTAAGATTTTTTATAAGTAAAAAATCAGTGTGAGAAAGAAGACGATGATGATGTCTACACTTGGGTAAATGATTCAGACGTATGGTACGTAAAGTACATAGTCACGACATATAACAATAATTTAAGGGGTCGTGGCAGAGGTGGGTTTGATTTTCCCATGAGAGGTGGGCCTCCAAGGTTTAGAGGAAGAGGATTTGGACCTAGGGGACCAATGTTTCGAGGAGCAAATAATGGATTTCCATTTGAGGGACCTCCTAGGCCAAATTGTCCACCAGGTCCAGCAGGGCCACGTTTTCGAGGACCTCCACCATTTGATCCTAGTTGGGGACCCATGGGACCACCGAATCTGATGGGACCGCCAAATCTTATGGGACCTCCAGGAATGGTAATTATCATTAAAGTTTATCTATTTTCCCCAGTAAATTGATTAAGTATCATTTAACTTTACATGCAATTAGCCACCGCCACACATGATGAATGGCCCAATTGGGACAGGTCCGGGACCGTACGGACCACCTCCTGGAATGGGACCACCAAATATGAATAACGTAAATTTTAATTTACAGAAACATAGTCACCCATTTAAATATCATGCTGTAACACAAGAAATTGTGTTATAGATTCCAGGTCAGCAGCAACCCCCCCAACAACAGGCACAACAGCAAGCAAACATTCCAGGCTTAGATCTCAATGGAGAGGTGTGGGTAGAAACGAAAACACCAGATGGCAAGTCATATTATTATAACATTCGTACAAGGGAAACAACATGGACAAAACCAGAGGGACCAAATGTTAAGGTGATGGTACAAGACCAGGTATGTCAAATTCAATTATGATTGTCTATTATTAAAGCATATAATATTTTTACCAAACAGTACTAATTTTTTTTTATAGTTAGAGCAATTGGTACATGGAGCATCGAAACAAGCAGCCCCATCAAGTACTCCTACTTCTGCAGCTACAGCTCCCAATCAAATAAGTGAAAATAGAGTGTCTCAAAGTAGTGAACAATCTTCTACAAATAATGCAGATGCAATTAATCAACTTAGTACTGCCCCTCCCGGTACAGGACCGCCTCCTACACTTGGCGAAACACCAGATATGAACACTCAGGCAGGAGACACAACACAAGCAAATGGTATTATACTGTACCAATTTGAAAAACCAAAAATTACATACATAAAAATTTAATACAAATATATGTTTTATATATAGGTACAGCACCTGCAACTGTTACTAATACTCCTACTATGAATACCCCCGCAGTTAATACAAACATGATGCAACCACCTCCTAATATGATACCTATGCAACATAGGATGCCAAATCAATTCGGCGGGCCACTTGCGACACAATTCGGAGCAGCTCCCTTTGGTATGCCACCACCAGGGTTCCAACCTTTTGGAGGCTATGGTCCACCACAGGCAAATTGGGGTAATATAAAGCGTACATATTTTACACAAGAATTAAACATATAGTTAATATATATTTTTTATAAGAGAAAATATTGTTCATTAGGTATGCCACAGATGCCACACGGAGTAATGGCTCCACAAGCTCCGGCGGAGGACCCTGCCATATTAGCACAACTTGATCAAGAACTTGTAGCGTCTGCTATGGTATGGACCGAACACCGTGCTCCAGATGGCAGACTATATTATTACAACAGTAAAGCAGGAGAATCTGTTTGGGAAAAACCACAGGCTTTGAAAGATCTTGAAAGTACGTTGTTAAGTTAAAATCTAAATTTGCAACTAAGATATGCAATTTCAAAATACTTTCACAATTGAATTTATTTCCAGGTGCAAAATTAGCGTTACGGCAGAAGGCTGAAGAAGCAGCTGCAAACTCTACAAACACTGCCGTGAGTAGTTCTACTGTCAGTAATAATAATATAGCCACTGAACCCATAAAACAGGAAAAACTTCAAGAAAGCAATCATGAAGCCAAAGATAGTGTAAAGGAACCAGAAGCTAACAAACCGAAAAAAGAGGAAGCAGCACCTAAGGAAGCTGCTAAACCTCAAGATAAGTCGAGGCCAATATCTAGTACACCAGTGCCTGGAACTCCTTGGTATACCTTTTAACATTAATTCAATACTTATTGTGTTATTTAGACCAAATGTAAATTTGAATCTCGTTTACTAGGTGTGTTGTTTGGACAGGCGATGGTCGGGTATTTTTCTACAATCCTTCATCCCGTATTTCTGTTTGGGAAAGGCCAGATGATCTTATTGGTCGTCAAGATGTCGATAAAATGGTATCTACTCCACCAGATGCGGTAGTAACTACTAAAACAGCACGTCAGTCAGATACAAGCGAAAGCAGCGATGATGATCAACCAACACCGGCGAAAAAAATGAAGCAAGAAGACACGAAAGGTAAATAATATTAGAATATATCTATAATTACGTATTATTTTACGAAATTTAACGTATAATTAAAATTACTATGTTTCTGATTTTAGCTGCAGCACCAAAAGAAGAGGAGGAGAAAGAAAGTAAAAAGACCATTGACATCGGGAAAGAAGCTGCAATAGAGGCGGAAGTACGAGCGGCTAGAGAAAGAGCAATTGTTCCTTTGGAGACACGGATTAAGTCATTTAGGGATATGCTTGCAGAGAAAGATGTATATAATTGGAATTTAGTATAAATGATATATTAATATAACATCAAATAAAATTGTTTTATAATCTTTATTGACAGGTATCCGCGTTTAGCACTTGGGAGAAGGAGCTTCACAAAATAGTGTTCGATCCACGGTACTTACTTTTGACGTCAAAGGAGAGGAAGCAAGTGTTCGAGAAGTACGTAAAGGAGCGGGCGGAAGAAGAAAGGCGGGAAAAGAGGAACAAAATGAAGGAACGGAAAGAACAATTCCAAAAACTGTTAGAAGAAGCTGGTCTTCATGGAAAGTACGTTATAGTTAAACAAAAATTTTTCTTTGAATAATATTAAGTTTTCTTCAACTTATTTTACAATAAATATTTATTCTTTATTTAGATCCTCGTTTAGTGATTTTGCTCAAAAACATGGGCGTGATGAACGGTTTAAGAATGTAGAAAAGATGCGTGAACGGGAGAGCCTATTCAACGAATATCTACTGGAAGTGCGAAAGAAGGAAAAAGAGGAAAAAACAGCTAAACGAGAACAGGTATTTTTATTTTATTAACACTATTGATCTTGTTGCAATGAAGATATTACTTTTCAGGATTCGTGCTACAATATTAAAAATTTAATTGAAACTTTATAAATACTTTAGACATTCACTACCTTAATCAATACCATAAGTAAGAAAAAATCCTATAAATGTTATTTCATTCGCGCGATAAAGAACATACAAATTTTGAAAATATTCGAGAATTAAGGTACTTGGTATTTTCCTCAAAGATTTAAAAACTATATAAGACTATTAAAACAATGTCCACTTTACAAAATATGTACTTCGAAATATTTGAAAGTTTTTTTATTGCATTATTTTTCCTACTATTCCATTACGAATAATATTTCATTCATTGCCCTGTGTACCTCAATTCTCTAGGTGTATCAAAATATCATAAAAGAAAAGTTCTTTTGGAATACATCCATTAAACCTTTTCCTCTTCCATACCAAACCTTATTAAGGTTTTCATACATGCCACTCCTCAGTTTATTCAGGGAAATCATAATATATTATGAAGAAAATATCAAATGAAAATGTAGACATAAAGTATAATATTACATTCGAGTTAAGTTAAAAGCTGCATATAAGTCTTTGTTCAGCACCAAAACAAAATTTGTGTTGTTTTACTGTTTGAAAAAGATATAATATGCGATGATACGTAAATGAGTAATAAGTAGACGAGAAATGTCTCTAACCTTAAATAAGACAAGATATAACGCTTAATGAATTTATATTTTCAGCAATAATTAATCATTCTTTCAGGTTCTATAGGTATGTTACTATTTTGTTCCACTTGTAAGATTTTTTCTAATATGAATTCCTAAATTAACGGCTGAAGAACACATACCAGGAGAAGTTTCTCTAATAATTCTCTACTCCAGTAGATTTTCTCGATAGACAAAAGTTTTGTAGCTCTAAGATGGGAGATGTAGAGAATAAAATCTTAGTATGTGACGGTTCCTTATGTACTTATGTGTTCTGAACTCTCCACTTCAGTCAGGAGGCAGGCAGGACAGGTTCCGTATGTGGAGTGGCTTGGTTCTGAAGCTGGTTGGTGGCATGGATGATGTCATCTACCATCCCCACCTACACTGCGTGGCACAGTTGGCACACCCTCGCGCGCCGCATTCTTTACTCCAAAGCAGAGTCATGAGAATGAACGAACTCGGTATTTGTATATTACTCGTAATCCTCGTTACTTCAAAAGATTAACTTTTCCCCAAAAATCAAAACCAATTTCAAAGGAATTAAATTTATTATCAACAAAAGCGGGGTGTCAATCCCAAAGGTAGCATAAATTCCAAAAACATATTTGCAGATTTTATTCTGTTTTCGGGAGATAAAGAACCGTTATTTGCTTTGAGAAAGGAAAGCTACCAATCTGATCAATGTATCAACATAAGAACAAATTAAATCTTTCCTCGTATTTTATTTTATGTTAAACATAGTTCTGCCGATCTCGTAATTTTATATGTGAAAGAAAAATTCGATCATTGTAAAAGGGAAAAGTTTGACCGAAATGCCAATTTTTTATGATAAAGAATGACTTTTGGTAGTTGTTCTTATGTCAATACATGGCATACCAAAGTTCAAATGTAACTAAAAAAAAACTGCTATTTATATCTAAAATTGAGAAAAGAATATATCTCAATTGGTGTCTAGATATTCCTTCTTTTATTAGCATTTTTTTTTTCGCATTATTATGAAAAGTACAAATATTTTACTTGCCATGAAATGTGGTACAAGCATTTTTGTTAAAAAAATTAATATATTTGAGGCAACAAGATGAGTACATTGACATAATAGAATGAGTGTGCTTTTATGAAATTTGGTTTGTATTCTTCAGAGAACCTTGACTGCTTTTGTCTTAAAAATAATAAAAGTGGACTTTGAAATAATTGTGTTTAGATAAAAGTTAGACAATTGTGGCACAAGTTTCTTACTACCTTAAAATTGTGTAGGATCAGGATCCGAGTAATAACTGTAATAGAAAATTGATGACCGAAATCTGCCAGCAACTCTGAACTCTAGTCATCTTTCATTGTGAAATAGACATGTGTTAAGTTTACGTAAATAAAA